GAAAATCAATGACGTTTAATGCAAAAACGTTACTAAAGTACTTAGAATTCAGACTGGAAATTTTAATGAGATCTTAAGGAAAGTAAAACGTTTAAGCTATGTTGCAAGATCAATGTCAATTCGATTTGCAAAATTGAAGCAAAATTCAACATTTAAAGGGTTTGTTCACCCAAAAATGAAAATTATCCCATGATTTACTCACCCTCAAGTCATCCTAGGTGTATATGACTTTCTTCTTTCAGACGAATCCAGTCAGAGTTGTGTCTCAAATGTCTTTGATCTTCCAAGCTTTAGAAGGGCACTCAGCGGGTGTTGCATGCATCAGTCCAAAATAAGTGAAATTAAGAGCATACATCCATAGTAAAACGTGCTTCACACGGCTCCGGGAGGTGAATGAAGACCTTCTGTAGCGAATTAATGCGTTGTTGTAATAAAAATATACATATTTAAAAACGTATAAACACTTTTCTGTCACTTCCTGAAGCTGTCTTACGCGCGTTCATTCCGAGCGGATGACGTAGGACGTATGGCTAGCGCAGGCGCCGGTGAGAAGTGATGAACGCGGAAGCAGAGAGGAGAGAACAAAACAAAACACCAGTCACGAATTAGCAGTATTAAGATTTGTTAAGAAATATGTCTGTGTCTCAAATGTCTTTGATCTTCCAAGCTTTAGAATGGCACTCAGCGGGTGTTGCATGCATCAGTCCAAAATAAGTGAAATTAAGAGCATACATCCATAGTAAAACGTGCTTCACACGGCTCCGGGAGGTGAATGAAGACCTTCTGTAGCGAATTAATGCGTTGTTGTAATAAAAATATACATATTTAAAAACGTATAAACACTTTTCTGTCACTTCCTGAAGCTGTCTTACGCGCGTTCATTCCGAGCGGATGACGTAGGACGTATGGCTAGCGCAGGCGCCGGTGAGAAGTGATGAACGCGGAAGCAGAGAGGAGAGAACAAAACAAAACACCAGTCACGAATTAGCAGTATTAAGATTTGTTAAGAAATATGTCTGAGGATTTCTATATAAGCCAAGTGGAGACTGGTTTTCCTTTGCTAACGCAAGGAAACTTTGCTTCCTTTGCTCCTGTAAACAAACATGGTTTTCGCGAAACTAGCATGCGCTACGCATACGTCCTACGTCATCCGCCCAGAATGGCTTCCGTGTACAACAGTGAGCGCAAGCTACAGAAAAGTGGTTATAATGTTTTAAATATGGATATGTTTCTTACAAGAATGCATTAATTCGCTACAGGAGGTCTTTATTCACCTCCCGGAGCCGTGTGAAGCACATTTTACTATGGATGTATGCGCTTAATTTCACTTCTTTTGGACTGATGCATGCAACACCCGCTGAGTGCCATTCTAAAGCTTGGAAGATCAAAGACCATTTTTAATATAACTCCGACTGGATTCGTCTGAAAGAATAAAGTGATATACACCTAGGATGCCTTGAGGGTGAGTAAATCATGGGCTAATTTTCATTTTTGGGTGAACTAAGCCTTTAAGCATCGAAATGCCAGCTTGAATCACGTGTAGGGCTCGTTTAGGTCTGTTTAGGAAGTTTTATCTGTTATTGCTACAAACGTGTCACGGACCTGAATGGGATTTGTACTTGAGGAACCCGAGCGTTGAGCAGGTTCAGATTCGGCCTCGTCTCATTTCTTCATTTTGACACCTCAGACGGTTCAGCGCAAGTCAGTCAGAACCTCAGATAGTCTCTGGACTTCATGTGTAGCTGCTCTTGCTTCAACTATCTTGTTGCTTACACCCTTTTTCCTCTCTCTTCCTGTTTTCTTTCTTCACATTTAACCTATGTATCCTCTTAAAAAGTGCCCATTAATGGTAAGTTGCCAATCGGCCCTGTGTTTTTTGGGGGTGACTGTCAGTGGGATCTGCCCCCCCCCCCTCTCCCCTCAAACCGTGTCGCCTCTCTCGCATGGCCTTGTGTCGCATTTCGCCTCCCATTAGCTAGCATGGCCGTCACCCGTGGCCGCCCTCTTCATGCATACAGTATATGTGACACCCTCCACTCACCTGCATCCTCAAATGTGCTTTCTTTTGGTTTTGGTGCCCAACCCTGTCGTGAAGGTGCCACATTTAACCACCATTTCACCATTCGTACGACCTCATTTTGACATCGGATAGCCAGTTTCTTTAGCTAGAACAGACGGCTTGGGTTTGTTTCGATGTTACCGGCGTTCTGTTTATGCACACGTTTGGATTCGACTCACCTGTTGTTCTGTGCTCATCTCTTCATGTAGTCGTCAACCTACTGCTCATCCAATCCTTTGCAGTTTTCTTCTGCGTTTGCTGACCGTTTGTCCCTTGCGTTTGTCTTTGTCTCTTTTATTGAAAATTAATTGAATTTGTGCTTAAAACAAGAAAAAATATCTGACAGTGAGATCAGAAAAATAAACTTGACTATTAATGCTATTAATTTTCTTAACCCATCAACAGATTTTTTAGTTATTATTGCTTTAAGCATAAACTCATTTAATTGATGCATTTTTCAAAAAATGACTTAATATTTAATATCTCGCTTAATTTCATAAACTCACTAAATTTTCAGAAAACAAGACTTAGTATCTTAAGTCATTTTGCATCACCAGATTGAAGAAATAAAAACTGTAATTATGACTTTTATAAACACAATATTCTGAGAAGAAAATCCAAATTATAATAATAATTGTGAATCTGATATAAAAACATTTAAATGAGATTAAAAAGTCTGCAATTACGTTTTCTATTTTTAATTCTGTGGCACAAAAAAAAGCAGAATTGCACGATAGAAACGGCAGTTATCTTTTTAAAATTTTTATTCCATGGTAGAAATGGGCTTCCATAATATATATAAGAAAGAAAAAAGTAATAAAAATCACAAAAAAACAACCAAATTACTAAAACTTTAACCGAAAATGAAAAAATAGATACATAAAAACCAACTTAACACTGATTCAGTTTTAAATAATGCAAAATAATTTATAATAATAATGTAAAACGTAATTGAAATAATACTTTAAAATGAAACAGTCATATTCCATTCCGTCATATAATCATATTTTTAATTGTATTATTACACGATTAAATGGAAATATTACTATACTATACTAAAAATACTTTATCTAAAGCTCTATCTAAAATGAAAACAGAAAATGAATAATTTCTTCAGTTTTTGAATGGAAAATGTAACTATTTATTAAAAGAGCAACAGTGTGGTGTTTATTAAAAGTGTCGGAATCCAACATGTGAGCGTCTGGCTCTGAGGAGGTTTATTTGTGGGTGAAACCCATCAGAAGCTTCTGGACCGAACCGTGAAGCTTTACTAGTCGCTGTCGGACGTCACAGAGGTCCTCCTCATGAGCTGAGCGCAGTAATCCATCCACAAACACCTCGAGCATGCTGCGGTGCATAACAATAAAGAATCGACAACTGCATCTCACAACATGCATTATTAAGTTGGGTTGATGCTTGTTTTATTCATGCTTGCGTTGACATCTTTCAGAGAGCGCGCGCGTGTCTGTTTGTCTGATTTGATTCCACCTCCTGCTTTTATCCTCTGCGCCCCTGAGACGAGTTAATGCACGTCCTCTCGTTCTGGACGAATCCAGATCCGGTTTTCAGCATCGCCACAGTTTGGGCTCATGATTCCGGTCATGCGTCTGATTGGCTGTGGTTTTGAGGCTCAGCCAATCACGGCGAGAGGCCTAGAGGGACAGAAACAGCCTGGAGCTTCCTGCCAGCCATTTCTCCATCCGCTCCGTTCCAGAAGATTATTTATTCAGCACCACATTTTTATATTTCAAAAGATTATTTTCCCATCAAGCAAAGTCTGAAAATCATTATTCTCTCCTGTTTCGCTTCAGCAACTCTTAAAGGGACAGTTCACCCAAAAATGAAGTAGTGTCGTCAGTTACTCACCGCAGTAACTTGGGTTTTATTTTTATATTTTATGTTTTCGTTTTAATTTTAGTTACGTTTTAGTGTGTGTGTGTGTGTGTGACCGTCTTGAATATTTAAATGTGTGTATGTGCTGACACTGACGCCACGTGAAAGCACAGCATCTCAGAAGACAGAATAACGAACACAGAAGCAACGTCAGCGTGCATTAGTTGGCTTTAATGTCTGTTTTGATGCATTAAATGCATCTGATTTTCATGACCTTTACAAAACCGTGTAGCTGCTGTTATACTGTGAATATGTGTATTTATGTTATGAGTATATTTACAGTAGAACTTGAGCCTGAGAGCCTGTCAGTGCCAGTGTTATTTTAGTATAATAAAGTTCATTTTTTTCCATTTTCATTTAAATTTTAGTTCAAGTTTAGTAATTTTCTTGTGTGTTTTTGTCATTTTAGTAGTTATATATATATATATGTGTGTGTGTGTGTGTAAATTTATGTCTATATATATATATATATATATATAATTTTTTAGTTTTAGTTCTTTTAGTACATAAAGTTAAAAGAGAAATGTTGCCTTGAAAACTAGCTAATATATAGATTTTGTATTTTATTTGATTTCAGTAACATTTTTTTATTTATGTTTTTTTTTTATACATATATAATATTCATTTTATTATTTTTTTGCAGGGGTGGGGGGGTCAGTAAATTGATTAGAATTGAATAATGTATTTTACTTGTATTGAAGAATTATTCAATCCAATTTAAAACAAAATATAAATAATTTAATATTTCATCATAAAAAAATTATAAAATGTATAAATCACAGAAATACATTACAGTTTAACAGATATTCACAGAGAAAACAGCTGTTTTAAATTCTAATAATATTTCACAATTTTACTGTATTTTTAATCAAATTAATGCAGCCTCGTTGAGCAGAAGAGACTCGTTCAGAAACACGAAAAATCTAACTTTTTAACACTAATGCATTTCAAGATAAGATGCGTTTATATATTTATATTTATTTTCCAGACACAGTGTTGAGCTTTAAAATGAAACTTTGGAATCAAAGTCGTCTTCTGTGTCTGTAAGGCTTCTAGAAGCTTCACGTGATGGAAATGAAAGAGCGTTGCAGGTTAAATCTGATGATAACCTTCTGGTCTCAGACGTAACCTCAGTCACAGAGCTGCTGATAGAGCCGATGTTCGTCAGAAAGCTCTGTTCCTCTGGGTCTACACGGCCCTCAGAAGCCTGCGCTGAGGTTTATTTTCATAATTAGCTGTAATTGCGCGGCGAGGAGAGCGTCTCGTACGGCATTAATGTTTCATGAGTTTCTGTAGCGGAGGAACAAACGTGGGCCGCTGCTGCGTCTGCGTCTACATTTCATTCAATGTAACTGATAATATTCTCAAAGCAGAATAATGTCTGTGAGGGTTGTTTAGTATTATTTTCTGTGGTCAGAGCAGTGTTGGGGAAAGTTACTTTTAAAAGTAATGCGTTACAATGTTGCATCACTCCATAAAAAAGTAACTAATTACGTTACTTAGTTACTTTTTATGGAAAGTAATGCGTTATGTTACTTTTGCGTTACTTTTTAAATCTGGACAGGGCTTGCTTGTTTGTTTTTAAAATAAAAAAGTAAGATTTTTGGCGAATATAAAAGCCTTTTCACACCAAAAGTGAAATGAATGCGCCTCAGGCTGAAGGGAAAGTACAGTAGAGTGCAGAAGAATGCACTTCAACACACTTCAGCAATAAACAAAGACACACAGATGTTCGTCTAACACAGATGTTGTCTAGAGTAATGTGTGTTTATTAGTACGGCTGAACTGCATCATCAGAAGCTCAGAAGCTAATAGAATGAGATTAAATACATAAAGCATATTTGTGTTGTTTAACATTTAGTTATTGCAGGTTTGCCTCATATTCTGAGTTGCATTGTTTTTATTCATTTTGAGGAATACTGAATCTATGTTTGGTTTGTGAGTGAGATGAATTAATGCATATTCATATTTATTTTAGAGCTACAGTAACATCTTCTGATTTCTGTCACCATGGCAACACCAAAGCTGTCAATCAATAAATTGGGAAAAAAAAGTAACTTGCGTTGCTTATTTGAAAAAGTAACTCAGATATTCTCTTGTAAAGTAATGCGTTACTTTACTAGTTACTTGAAAAAGTAATCTGATTACGTAACTCGCGTTACTTGTAATGCGTTACCCCCAACACTGTCTCAGATTTAAAAAACTAGAAGTGGATGTTATGCAATAAACGCTGTATATGTTCTCATGCTCGAAAACCTAGTCAACCGACATGGGCAGCATTTTAAGGCATCATACTGTAGATGCGTAGCATGCCATGAATTGTTTGTGCACAAGATAATCCCAAAATGCATTGCAACACGTGAAAATAAAAATGTATCCAAGATGGCAGATGAGGTCAGAAAAAGGTTAATTTATTAATTTATCATGAATTAGAAGTTTATATAAATATTATAGATTGTAGAAAATTTACAATAATATTACAATATAATTTAATGTTAAATTAAAATATAAAATAATTTAAATATTAGTTTTATTTTATGAATAGGCTTTTAACATTTTGTTTGATTTTAATATTATATAATTAAAATACAAATTAAATGTTAATAATATACTATTAATATTTTGATTTGATGTGATTATTAAATAATTGAAACATTCAATTCAACGTTTCATGATAATTTAATAATGTACTATTAATATTTTTTGTTTGATTTTAATGTTAAATTATTGAAATACATTTTCAATTAAATGTTTAAAATTTGTTTTAAATTTTAATAATATGCTATTAATATTTTTTGTTTGATTTAAAATTTTAAATGTAAATAAATATTTAAATTATTTAAAATGTTTAATGGTAATTAAATGTATAATGCTAATTTAACCATTTTAATAATATACTATAAATGTTTTTGTTTGATTTTAATATTATGTAATTGTAATACAAATTAAATTAAATGTTTATTAATAGTTTTAACATTATGTAATAATAATAATAAATGTAATATTAATAATAATATGTAATAATAGGTGTAATAATATGATATCAGTATTTTGTTAGATTTTAATTTTCGTTTAATTTTAAAATGCACTTAATATTTTTATTGATTTTAATATTAAATTATGCATTTAATAAATGTTTAAAATTAGCAGTTAATTTGTAACAAATAAAAATTTTAATGATGTAAAATTATTGTTTTGTTTTATTTTAAATAGTAAAATAATATAAATATTCAATTAAATGTTTAATAATAATTTAACATTAGTAATTTTTTATTAATGAATTTGTGTGCTCGTTAGAGTAAACATGCTAATGCCAAACCTGAGTAAGCTGAGGTGAGTTTCTGTGGTAACTGAGATGCTGCACATTCTGACTGATGATCATAAAGTTGATTTTACTCTTTTCTCCGACTCTTGATGTCCGACTCCATTCTCATGTGTTGTCCTGACCTTTGACCTGTTGTTTGTCACTCATGTTCGTTCTGCTAACCGTGCTTTTCTCTGTTATATCATTGTGTTTCAGAGCTTCTTTGAAGGGCAGGCGGCGCCGT